CGGGTTCTCCCCGGAGCTTCTCTTCTCCTTCCATTTCAGGTCCTTGTTGCTCAGTTCATAGGCAAGATCATCGACAGCTAAGACCGGCTAGATTGTGCATCATCACCTTCTAAAAACAAAAGTTAAATATGGGGCTATTTAAACTCATCCACAACCAATTCAGTTAAGAAGCTGAATGTAACATGGCATCCTTATGACATCAAGGGTCTCTTCTAGTACTCTTAGGCTACACCAAGTTAAGTGTTAACCTTTGGGGTGACAGTTACCCATTCTTTACATATTTAGCACTAAGAATATTTGCCCATAAGACACCACCATACATAATAACTCTCCTCTTAAATTTGGCGGTTCATTTTGTCCAATGGAACAATTTGCTACTACAAAATGCAGCATGATAGCAAATGATGGAGATTTTGTTATCAATGGATGGTGGTTTAGTTGGTAGGTTCTTTGTAGGGGTGATATTTCTTGGTTCAGAAACCCAATTCAACTTGATTTGCAAATTTCTAAGCTTGGACCTAGGTTTTTGTGTATAGGTCTGGCCTAATCTGGGCTTGCATCATCACCATTCTAGATATCCTAGCACATGAGTTAACCAAAGTACAAGAGTTAACACATCTACCATTGTGTGTTCTCCGTTGTCTCACATGTGGGCTCAAAAATGAGAATAAAAACTTTCCGAGCTTGTATATTAAACAAAATAAATGAGGCCCATGATTTATTTTTTATGCAATAAGCCCAAAACTTAGCCAACCATAATATAACTTGGACTTATATAATATTTTTTTTCATGTATTACATATTATTAATTTAAAAATTTAAAAATAATTAAATCTTTCATTAAATGGCATGGGCCCAAAGATGTACTCAACATGGCCATGTAGGGTCGAGCCCAGGCCTATAATCTAAGTTTGAGGTGTGGGCTGAACTAGGCCCAACTTAAGTAAGCCTTTATTATCGGTGATGCTGTTTGATCTGAATTGTAGCTAAGGCGGATACGTAGCAGATGATTCTACCAAGTTGGACGAGTTGGGGCGGAAGGACGAAGTTGTGCACTGAGCAGATTTATAAACAAAATAATGTCGGGCCCAAAGATGTGGTCTCTGAGGAAGGTACTCCAATGCTTAAGTTAGTAAAAGATAGTGAGATCGGTCGGGCTGAGTTGTTGAGGAAGAGTTGGTTCGAGCCAAGGAAAATGTGTGAGAGTAAGAGAGCAAATAGCGAGAGAGCTAAAAATGACAAACATTGAGAGGAGATGCCTTTAAATAGTCAAGTGTAGTGGTATACTTAGACATACTCCCTGCAGGGTTTTAGGGATGAGACTGCCTGCCGAGGTCTTTGAAAATGGGCATCTATCTATAAGAGATCACATTACACTTATCCGCAAGAAATTATGCTTCATCTGAGGTTCTCACTTGTGAGATTGTCCGCTGTCCTCAATATATAGCGTGCTAATCTGTTGACATGGAAAATCTGATGGACCCAAGATACGATGGTGTCCATGTAATGACTTCGACTGGCTGAGGCATGGCCCTAACAATTGGTGTTAATTGTTAAACCCAATTATAAACCACATGGTTTTCAAACCGCCATTGGCCCGAATGGTTGGACCATTCAGCCTAGGAATTGTCAAGGCAATTGGTTCTGTTTTACCTTAAATTCGGTCTCTAGCCAAAAACTGTTGAATCGGTCAACTACCCATTGACCTGGGTGATCGTAACGTCTACCCGTTTAACGGTTTTGGCCATTTTTTAATTTTTTTTTGTTTTTTATTATAAATGGCTTGTCCGTTTGAACCAGACAGTTGAAGCGTCGACCCGAAACCCGATGGCTAGAACGGTTCTGGTTTCGGATCATTTTTTAAAACATCGATAAACCAAGTATATGTTTGGCATCAATAATCCATATACGACATTGTTTTTTGAGAAAAACAGTGTTGTATATGTGTGGGTTGGAAGCACAATTTTCTAAGAAAATAATATCTTTTTTTTTTTTTGAAAACATTGCTGCTAGGTAGAAAATTTCTTGGGGCAACAACAACACATTCTATTTGGTACCAATACTCCATATTTGTTTTGAGCATTGGTACCTGTTACTACCACATTTTCTACCATTTTCTATCTACCAACGGCAAAATTGAATAGCAAATAACAATTATTAGTACAAGTCCTTTTCCATTTAGCCGCATGTTTCCATTTCCCCATTCCTTTCCTTGTCCATCAATTGTCTCCAATTTCCTCATTCCATTTGATCCTATGATCTTGATCGGTCAATTTCCTTTTCAAACTAATGATCCAATGGTAGGTCCTTAATAGGTGGGGAAAGAATCTTAGGATTATAAAGATAACTTTTGGGCCCTAATATCAATAAAAGTAATATTTTTAATAAAATTTAAAAAATAGATTAACTTTTTAAAAATAATATCAAATAAGGGCAAAAATACTATTTATCTTATTCTTCTTGTCATTAACGTCGTTGCCTCGGGCAATGCCTCTGCCTTTGCCCAACATCGCCACTTCCGCCCTTCTCTGCCTCTGCCTCTACCCACCTCTCCACCTCTGCGAACACTGCCACCTCCGCCCACCTCCGCCTCCGCCTCTGAAGATGGGCGAAGGCAGAGACGACGATGACAACATTGGTCTACCATCCACCAATGTTGCCACCGTTGCCTCTGCCTCCGCCTTATCTTCAGAAGCGAAGGCGAAGGTGGGCGAAAGCGTTAACGAGGTGGGCAGAGTTAGACAAAAGCATTGCTGGAGGCCGCAGCGGGCGGTGACGCTAATAATTTATATGCAGTAGGAAGAAAATGAACAGTAMTTTTGCCTTTATTTATTATTATTTTAAAAAAATTAACCTATTTTTAAAATTTTATTAAAAAATTTACGCATTGTACTTATCTACTATAATCCCAAGAATCTTTTCAAATATCACAAGTAACCTTCAACCCTTCGATTAGAACCTAAAAAGAGATTTCTGCGATATAAATTACCTGATTGAGACAACGGAAGTTTCCTCCGTTCCATGGTCCTTAGTCTTTATTTGGGGGCCGACGCGTTTTAAACGCCCATAACCCAATAATTTGCAAGGTGACCGGCTGCTCACCGACTTTGACAGGCTGTAGGCTGTAGGCTGTAGGCTGTAGGACAAATCCCCACATGCCGCTTCTTACAAACCTCAGGTTCGAATAATCGAAGCAAGCAAGTTCGGAACACCTAATCTCTGGCCTATATATACAGCGTACTGGAAGCCCGAAATCACGAGTCACAAGYGTAAAATCTTGTTCGTTAGTCCGAGAACGGATCTGATCGCCGAGATATTTTGCTTCTGTGTCCGGAAGGTAAACGCTTAGTCGTTTCAGACGCGATACATCTTGAAGATTTTGATCTGGTTTTGTTTTGGAATTTCTGATCAAATCAAATGTTCAGCTTCTTATGAGATCTGATCGCGACATTTTGAATCTATTGTGCTTGAGAGATGTCTTTTGATAGGATTTGTTTTAAAGTTTAGGAGCGATCGATTAGAAATCTGATGGCCTTGATATCCGACTCTTAGATGTTGAGGGAGTTGTGTTTTGTTGAGGATCTTCACTGATTTGGTCCGTTGGGCCTCTGGTTTTAAAGATCGGTGAAGAACTTCAAAAAATCTCGAACTGGCTAGGTCTATTTCTGTAAGGAATTCATTATTTTTAAGATCTGGAACCTATACATCCTAGATCTGGAAGACCTTTAGGAATTGCGGGAAGGGCTTTGAATTTCTAGTTGAGGGATCATTTGATAATCGACAAGTTTTTGGACATCTTAGTTGTATGATCGGCGAGGTCTAGACCTCTGGCATACTGCAATTTGGGGGAAAAGGCTGAACCCTGTAATTGAAATGGCATTCTTTTGCTTTCGGGGTTGAAATTTCAGGATCCGTGTTTTGAAAAAAAAAAAACCTTGATGCTTTGAGCAGGCTGAGTGAGCTCTTAGATCCATAACTCTTTGGGTTTATGTTAATGCATCTTTCTTTCTTTTTTTCTTTTCTTTTTAAGATCTACTTCCGACAGCGTCTCTGTCGTTTTATTTTCTTTATTTTGAGGAGCTTTTTTCTTTCCCAGTGTAGTCTGATTTGCTGCTGAATGCATGGTATGAACCCTTAAGCTTTCTTCTGTGGGTTCTATCTGGAGGACTATTCTCTTTGTATTTTAGATGTGATGTCATTTAATTTGTATGATATATTTGAAATTTGGAGTTTGTCACTTTTTTGATCCTTCGGAATATAGAAGAGAAAAGTTGCAGATTCTATCTAAAATAATATTTTGCTTTAAGGTTAAGATTCAATGGCAATTGATATTTTCAGTGGAAGAAAAGGAGCATGCATTGGATCCTATTTCCTATTCTCCTCAAGTGATTTGCTTTTTTTTTTTCCTTTTCACTTCTTTCATGTTCTACCGTTTCTGTCTCTGTTTTCACTTAAGTGGTCTGGTTTGATTTTTTTCTTGTGTCCGTGTTACATCTTCTGTATTTTTTGTCAAACTCTAATAAACAGAGGAAGTGGAAAATGCATTTTGAGTTTTATGAGGTTGAGTGGTAAATTGTATGTAACAAAAGGCAGTAGCCAATCTTATGGTTGTGTTTATTTTTAATTGAACTTTTATACACGCATTGATAACTGAAGAGGGTCACATTCTATATTGGACAAGTTAGATTTTGGTTCACATTCTACCAGTTTCGTTCTTCTTTCGCATATTGCAAATCTTCTTATGTTGAACTTTCCTCTTTTGTTTTCATAGAACTCTGAACGTGATTGGTCCAACAACAGGGATAGATAACATCATCAAGAAGTGGCAATGGCACTGGTATCTAGAATGAGATCAACTCTGAACCCTAATGCACCTCTCTTTATCCCAGCTGCTTACCAACAAGTAGAGGATTTCTCACCTGAATGGTGGGAACTGGTGAAGACATCAACTTGGTTCATGGACTACTGGCTCGCGCAGCATCAGGAAGAGGAGAGCTTTATTGGCAATGCCAACGAAGATGATGACGTTGTCAATCTTCTCCCCGACGCATTTGATCTCGATGCTGATGAAGATATGGATGCTCAGTTGGAGGAGTTTATCCTATCTTCTGAAGAAAATGGATCAGCCCTTTCTGCTTCCAAGCCTCAAAATGGTATACATTTTGCTCATTGCGTTTTTTTATGCTATCTCCGTTTAGATATACCAACAATAAATCGAGACTAATTCTTTTATTTCTGGAAACAGGCATGGAGATGAATGCGGAGGCTGTGGTCAAGAACCTGATCCCCACGAAATTTCCCAAGTCGCAGGTGGAACCGGCAAAGTATCACGAGAAGCCACCCCATTGCATTAGCCCAAAATGCAGCCCTCGTCGTATCCACCAGCCTCGTTGAGAGAGCGGCACAGCAAATTTAAGCTTCTGGGTCTAGTAGCTCTGTTTTAACATCGCCAAGTAAATAGTTCTTAGGTACCTTGGTTTTAGTCTCCCTGTATAGAGCAAGGTGACAACTCCCTTGTATTCACCATCTTATTTCCATGTATTCTGTTTTCGATGGAAGAATCCATCCGCAGAAAAGAACAATGTAAAAAAACGAAAAAAAAAGAGAATAGAATAAAATTAACTAAAAAAGATTCCCCAATAATGTTGTGCATGTGAATGAAAATTTTGGAATTGTTGGTGCGTTAACTGGTAAATTCGATTGTAGATACSGGAGAAAGATATGAAAATAATTATTTTGGACTGTTTATGCATTACTATTACAATCATTTTTTTATTGAAAGATTCATTATTGATGGAGGCCCATCTCAAGATAAGGTCAAGAGTCCAAGATAAGTCAAGAAAGGATAATAGGATAATTCAAGGTCCATTAAGACTTTTCCAAGACTTATCAAGAATCCAAGATTATCAAGAYTCTTCCAAGATTAGCAAGAAYTCAAKACTCCAATCAAGATCCAACAAAGACTCCAAGAAGCATCAAGAAATCCAAGACTCTTGGATTCATGCATAAGGAGAGCCAGGGAGATCGGATGGTGGAAGATCAAGCCCAAGAATTCCAAGAGGGTTCGACCTTATCAAGACAGCCCAGAGGATCAAGATTAAGATCAAGACTCGTGTTCTTTCCTAGTTCTTTTACAATTTCCAAATGTATTATAAATATTGCTATTTTCCCAAACTCATTGATCAATTCATACTTCAGATTTCAGAATTTCTTCAAGTTCTCTTCTTCCTATCTTCGCCACCTTTTCTCTCTTCTAGAGAAATCGGTGTTATTCGCTAGGTGCTAGCGAACGCCCGGTGCTTGCATAGCCAGCTCCGGTTCTCATTGCGTCCACGCTGCGTCAATTATATTAAACAAAAGCAAAAGAAACAAAGTCTTCCACTTTAGGTATCCTTGTGGGTTGGTAAGTTATATTTTCTATTTGCTTAACTTATATTAACATGTCTTCAGAAATGCCAATAGCAGGATCAGGTTATGGGCGTCTTCTGATTGATTGCATTAAGGTTCAAAATATCGATACACCCGATACGCCAATAGGGGCATACCGGGCAAATCGATACATATTTTCAAGCCCTTTTTTTTATTTTTTTATTTTTTTTTGCAACCGGTTCAGGGGGGCTGGTTTAGGTCTTCTCTACCCCTGAACTGGTTAGACCTCTGATACACCCATGTAGGGGCATATCCGAGGGCTCCCGAAACGATACGTATCGGTCGATACGGACCGATAAGTATCGATACTTTAAACCTTAAACTCAGCTTGTAACACAAATGTAATACCGTTTATTCTTCCTCCTATTATGGATAAATTTTTTGATACAAAAACAGCACCATAAGAATATAAAGTATTTGATATTTTAATAGCATCTGTAAAGATAATAATATCTACGGAAGAAGATATATTCAAGGAGATCTTATCCGAAAAATATACGTCACTATGGTATCTTGTGCTAGTTTGGTACTGAACAGTATTGTAAGAACTATTAATTTTGAAAAGGAGATTTGTAGGAGAAATGGATCTTTGTTGAAGATCTTTTCATTGCGAGCATACCAGATGTAATAACAAGCTGTAGCTATTCAGCTGAGAATGTTCATGAATTGTGAGTCATTTTGGATTTGAGTATACAAGGTTTTTAGGCAAGAACTCCATGAGTCTTGAAAATGAAGATGGAATTGAATATTACAAGGATTTGCAAATAAGACTGCTTGCGTGAAGGTGCAATTCATAAAAAGATTATTTATGTCTTTGATTTGTGTATTACATAGAGCAAATTTTTTCCTGGTTATCCTGGAATATTTTGTCTTTAACTGGAATGAAGGTATTTGAGATTCGCCAGAAGAAAAGTTGAAAACGCGGAACTGTCTTTACTTTCCAAAGTTTTTTAAAACAGAATGATAGGTTGGGGTCCATCTGATTATTTGAACTACTGAGAGCTTTTTTATATTCTTCCTTTACACTAAATTTACTTGAACTATGGCGGGTCCAAATCCAATTATTAGAGTACGACTCAAGGAAAATTGGGGTCCTTGTGGTTATTGATATTTCTTCAGAGTCAAAGAGAAGTTGAATAGGGTCTTGACTCCAATGGCCTAGGTGGATAAGCTGATTAATATTGATACTTCTAAGTTGAGGAGCTATCGGTAAAGTTATCCAAGAGAAGAGGTTTTGGTTTTGTATCCAAGGTCTTTGAGTAATTGGAAAGTTTGAATTTTCTTTCACTATGGCTCCACATTTTGATAAGAGTTCCATTAAACTTGGAGCTATTGATTTCTAGAAGAAAGAGCTTGTGGTAGTAATAGAGTAGGGGAATAGATTTGGATATTTCAGGTATTTTGATCTTCAAAGCTGAACCCATAACTTATCTTGCTCATTTAAAAATCTCCAAGCTGTTTTCTTAAGGAGAGATTTATTGGTTAATTGGAGATTTTTGAAACCTAAGCCTCCCTGGGTTTTAGGTAACATTAAGTTGTCCCAATTGCACTATCTGTAAGGGTGAGGTTTAGACTGAGAGGTTCCCCACCAGAAATTTTTTATAATTTTCCCATTTGATCTATAGTTTTTTTAGGGAATTTTACTAGAGTCATGGCATGAACTGGGATGGCTTGTAGGACAGATTGTATTAAGACTTGTTTACCTGCTTGACTTATAGCAGAAGCCCTCCATGAGTTTAATTTTGATTTTAAATTATCTAGGATAAAAGCTAATTTGGAATATTTACTTCTGTTCCAGAAAATGGGTAGTCCTAGATACTTGGAATCTTTGTGAAGAGGCTTTATTTTGAGCTGTCTGGATATTATTTTTTGTAGCTTAGGATGAATGCTTTTACTGCAATAGATTCCAGATTTTTCTATATTAATTAATTGGCCTGAGAGGGATTGAAACTTGTTTATGATTTGAATGAGATTATCTATTTATGCTCTATAAGCTCTAATGAAAATCATAATATCATCTGCAAAGAAAACATGGGAAATTTTTGGAGCAGATTGGGATATGGGGATGCCTTGGATTTTTCCTTCTAGTTCGGCTTGGTGCAGGAGTCTTGATAGACCTTCCATTGCTAGGATAAAAAGGTACGAGGATAAAGGATCCCCTTGTCTTAAACCCCAAGAAGGATGGAAATGGCCTTCAGAAAGACCATTAATAAGGATTGAGTAGGACACTGTTGAGATGCACTTTTTGATAAGTTGGTAGAAGTCAGGAATGAAACCTAAGAGAAATAGGATTTGGAGGAGGAAAGTCCATTCTAGCCTATCATAGGCTTTTGACATGTCTAATTTTATTCCTAAGTAGCTTGTTCCTCATTTTTTGTGTTTAAGAAAGTGAAACATCTCATGGGTTATGACTGAATTGTCAATCATTTGTCTGCCAGGAATGAAAGCAACTTGATTAAGGGAGACACACTTATCTAAGACTTTCCTGAGCCTACCAGTTATAACTTTAGCAATTATTTTGTATGCTACGTTGCAAAGACTGATAGGTCTATAGTCTTGGATTTTGGAATTCCTTAAAAAGAATGACAGGCATACCATCTGGACCTGGGGATTTTAGACTCCCAATACCAAAAAGTGATGTTTTAATTTCCTCAACCGAAGGAATAGCTTTGAGCATGTTATTTCTTCCTCCGAAATTATTGGAGTAAATAAATTTGATAAATCTTCTAATTGGTCATTCGGCTAGAAGGAGTAAAGATCCGAGAAATAATTAAGAAAAACTCTAGTGATATCAGCATGCTCAGTTTTCCTTTCATTTTGGTCATCTCTTATTCCTTCTATATATTCCTTTTCCTTCTAAAGAGAGTACTCTTATGGAAAAAAATTGTACTCTTGTCTCCCAATTGCAACCATGTTTGTTAGGAGGTTTATCTCCAATATCTTTCCAGCTGGTTGGTTGCATGATTTAATTCCTTATATAAGAGATTCTCTCGCTCTGTGACTCTTGATTGCTCCATGAGAAAATTTTGATCTTCTAATTTTTGAATTTTGATTTTTGGATCAATGAATTTTGATTTTCTCCAACTGGCTGAGAGTTTTTTCAGGATATCTAATTATTTTGCAATACGATAAGCTGCATGTCCTTTGATAGATGTATGCCAACTGTCTTCAATAATTTGTTTACAAGAAGATTCTGACATCCACATTTCAAAAAATCTAAAAGGTTTGGGGAGATTGAGTAATTTTGGGTTCAGATTTAGCAGGAGAGAATGATGATCARAAACCCATTTAGAGCCTAGGGAGAGGGTAACATGAGGAAAATTAGGTAACTAGTTTGGAGATATGACTGCTCTATCCAAAGTTCTTTGAATGTGTCCTATAGTTCTTTTCTTTGTCCAGGAAATACTTCCTCCTTGTATGTTTAATTCTAGTAGGTTGTGGTTGTGAGAATGAGATTTCTATATTGCCTGGATGCTAATTTTGAGGAATTATAGGATGCCTCATTGAAATCCCCCATAAGTAGATAAGGTTTATGTAGATTTTGAATTTTTGAATTTAATTCTATCTAGAAATTATTTCTATGATGTTTTATAGTAGGCCCATATATGAAAATCAGAAACCAGTCATAATTCGTGGAATTAAGTTCGAGAACGACATACCTTGGGGTTGAAAGCTCAGCAGTAACCAAAAAGTCAGCTTTCAAAAATACGGCTAAACCTCCGACTCTTCCTTCAGGATTAACAATAACAACATTAGGATAGCGTAACTTAGTGCTTAAGGCATTTATTTTTGTATCTAGTATTTTTGTTTCACACAAAAATATAAACTTTGGGCTTAATCGGTGGACAAAGTCCTAGAGTCCTTGGACTGCCTTGGGACGCCCAGCCCCACGACAGTTCTAACTCATGATGATCATTGATGCTGGTGGGCTGATAAGGTTCAGCCACCTCCGCCCATAGGAAGTAAAATAGAAAAAAAATCAAGGAGAAAAAAGAATTTACCGTTTCCTGGTTCTCTAAATCAGTGGTCGTGTCAGATAAAACCAATTGGTTAGTAGACATAACTTTCTCCTACTCTGCCGTACCTAATGGTACAGGTCAATCATAAGTGGGTAAATCAAGAGTCAGTTGTTCAAATTCCAGGTTTGCCAGAAGGTCAATACGAGGCCTTTTACCTCTCGAAGAAGAAGGACTAGGTTCATCTTCGAAAAGGCGATTCACAATTTCCTGAGTAGAGGTTGCTAGTTGAAAAGTTTCTTCTGAAACACGGAGAGGAGGGAGGTTAGAACTTAAGGGGGCCACT